ACCACAAGGTTGTCTTAGACCCAGTACTCTTCAATATCTTCATCAATGACTTAGATGAGAGAACTGAAGGAGAACTCATCAGATGACACCAAACTGGCAGAAGTAGCCAACACCCCAGAAGTTAAACTCAGGATCCAAAAAGATCTTGACAAACTTGAACAAGGAGCCCTATCCAACAAAATGAGTTTCAGTGTGGAGAAAAGCAAAGTTTTACACTTAGGCAGGAAAAATCAAAGGTACAGATTGGGCAAGACCTGGCTTAAAAACAGTAACTGGAGTCCTAGTGGACAATCACTTGACTACGTGCTAGCAGTATGCAGCAGCAGCCAAAAAAGCTAATACAATCCTGGGTTGTATAAAGAGAGACATAGAATCAAGATCATGTGAAATATTAGTACCGCTTTATAAAACCCTAGTAAGACCACACCTGGAATACTACAGCCAATTTTGTTCACCATATCACAAAAAAGATGTTAAGAGTTTGGAAAAAATTCAGAGAAGAGTAACTAAGATGATTAAAGGCCTAAAGACTAAAACATACAAAGAATGATTGCAGGACTTGGGTTTGGCTAGTCTAAAAAAAAAAAGAAATAGGGGAGACATGATAGCAGTATTCCAGTATTTGAGGGGCTGCCACAAAGAAGAGAGGGTCACGTTATTCACCAAAGCACTAGAGGGCAGGACAAGAAACAATGGTTGGAAACTGATCAAAGAGAGAAGCAACCTGTAATAGTAGTAAAGTTGGAAGGGACCTTGGAGGTCATCTAGTCCAACCCCCTGCTCAGGCAGGAAACCCTACACCATTTCGGACAAATGGCTGTCCAGTCTCTTCTTAAAAACTTCCAGTGTTGGAGAATTTACTGCTTCTGGAGGCAGGCTGTTCCACTGATTAATTGTTCTCACTGTCAGGAAGTTTCTCCTTAGTTCTAGGTTGCTTCTCTCCTTGATTAGTTTCCACCCGTTGCTTCTTGTCCTGCCTTCAGGTGCTTTGGAAAATAGCTTAATTCCCTCTTCTTTATGGCAGCCCCTGAGATATTGGAATACTGCTATCATGTCCCCCCTTGTCCTTCTCTTCGTTAAACTAGACATACCCAATTCTCGCAACCGTTCCTTATATGTTTTAGCCTCCAGTCCCCTAATCATCTTTGTTGCTCTTCTCTGTACTCTTTCTAGAGTCTCAACATCTTTTTTACATCGTGGTGACCAAAACTGGATGCAGTATTCCAAGTGTGGCCTTACCAAGGCATTGAAGAGTGGTATTAATACTTCACGTGATCTTGATTCTATCCCTCTGTTAATGCAGCCTAGCACTGTGTTGGCCTTTTTGGCAGCTGCAGCACACTGCTGGCTAATATTTAGGTGATTGTCTACTAGGACTCCGAGGTCCCTCTCACAGTTACTACTAGTGAGCATGGTGCCACCTATGCTGTACTTGTGCATTTGGTTTTTCTTGCCTAAATGTAGAACCTTGCTTTTTTCACCATTGAATTTCATTTTGTTAGTTAGTGCCCAGTGTTCAAGTCTGTCCAGATCCTTCTGTATCTTAAGCCTGTCTTCTGGAGTGTTGGCTATTCCTGCCAGCTTGGTGTCGTCTGCAAATTTGATGAGTTCCCCATCTATCCCTTCATCCAAATCGTTGATGAAGATGTTGAAGAGTACTGGGCCCAGGACAGCGCCTGGGGCACCCCACTACACACTTCCCTCCATATAGATGCAGTTCCATTGAGGACCACTCGCTGAGTACGGCTGGTCAGCCAGCTAGGGATCCATCTGGTGGTGATTCTGTCTACCCCACATTTTTCTATCTTATCAAGTAGTAGGTTGTGATCTACTTTATCAAATGCCTTACTGAAGTCCAAGTAAATTATGTCCACAGCATTCCTCTGATCCACTAATTTTGTCACTTGGTCAAAGAATGCAATAAGATTTGTCTGGCATGATCTATTTTTGACAAACTCATGTTGGCTTTTAGTAATGACTTTGTTTGCCTCTAAGTGTTCATTGATTCGTTGTTTGATTATCTTTTCCAGGATCTTCCCAGGTATTGAGGTCAGGCTGATAGGTCTGTAATTTCCTGGATCCATTTTTTTTCCTTTTTTATAGATGGGAACTACATCAGCTCTTTTCCAGTCCTCTGGTAGTTCCCCTGTGTTCCAGGATCTTTGAAAAATATAGTTCAGTGGCTCCGATATCACATCTGCCAGTTCCTTGAGAACTCTAGGGTGTAATCCATCTGGTCCTGGCGATTTGAACTCATCTAGGTTGGACAGGTGCTCACTTACCATTTTCTTGCCTATCTTAACTTGTGTTTCTATTTTGTTTTTTGTGGCACTATTTTTGATAGGTTGGTCTGTTTTTTCCCTTTGTGTAAAGACAGATGCAAAAAACAGTTAAATAGTTCTGCTTTCTCCCTGTTGCTTGTCACCTTCTTGCCACTTTCACCCACTAATGGATCAATCATTTCCTTCACTTTTTTCTTGTTTTTTACATGGAATTAAGGAGAAACTTCCTGACAGTGAGGACAATTAACCAGTGAAATAGCTTGCCTCCAGAAATCGTGGGCACTTCAACACATGAGATTTTTAAGAAGAGGCTAGACAATCATTTTTCTGAGATGATAAAGGTCCTCCTGCTTGAGCAGGGGGCTGGACTAGAAGACCTCCAAGGTCCTTTCCAGCTCTATACTATTCTATATTCAGGGGCAGAATTATTCCAGAATATAAGGCAATAATCAATAGATATTAACTGTAAAGAAACAGATTTTGGTTGGGCATCAAGAAAGATGTCTTAATGGTAAAAGATATTCAACATTGGAACAGATTAGATTTGGAAGGTAGTAAATTTGACTGGGTTGGTTAAATTGATTCTGGATGGTCTTCTGTCAAAGGTGTTAATAATGAATGTTTTAGTAATGAATATGTTACTAAAAATGTAAGAGACCTTTGCACTGGATAGCAGTTTAACATAGATTAAATGATCTTCCAATCATTGAATCTTTAAACTACAAAGTAAAATATGGAAGCCCTCCTTCTAAATGCCATATAAAATTGAATTTACTAACACAATTACACAGCAGCCTTCACTACACTCAGAGCTAAATCCTCTAACCTCTTACTACTTCTTGAACTCATAGTCTGTCTGGCACACTTCTCCTATCCATTGAAAGAAACATTGCAGGAATGGCCCTAAATGTATGCATGTCATTAGGACTACCTGATCTGAGCTATGAAAACTATATAATCATTAGGTGCAACAAAAACCATATGATAAATATGATAATCTTCACATTATGCATGTATTATAAAATATAACAAAATATCCACAATAAATTAAAGATAAATTAACCTTTAAAATCAAAATTTTAAATCAAAAACTAACATTAAAATCAAAATTAAACTAAAAGGAACCAGTGTCCATTAAGGTAGCTTAATCTCACTGCATACTCAATCTTCCTTAAAAAGTTTGGACAATAATTTTCAAACACAGATTCAAAAAGAATCTTATAAAGAGGCTGCAACCACAGCTCATTCGAGGACACCATAACCTAGTCCTTGGCCAAAGTGAGGCACTGGAAACTTCTGAGATCAAGTTCATCATGCTCCTCAACGGAGCCAGGAGAAGTATGGGTGAAGTATGGGTGAAGGCCACAGAAAGCATCACATTAATTTCTTCTAGATAACATAGCAAGATGTCTCAGGCACCCATTCGACTCTTATCTATGAGGATTCAAGACCTTGTTAAATCTAAGCAAATATATGGGCAAAGGTTTTTGCAAAAAAAACAGCAATCAGGCTGTGTTACCTGTTCTCAGTTCTCTTATAAAGAGTTACACTAAGCAAAGTTTTTGACTAACATTTCTCCAATGCAGTAAAAATGTTTTACATTTGAGTAAAATGATCTTACTATCTTATTCATTGGTAATCTTCTTCGTCAATACACAGAAATTCTGTGAGTTTCTTCAGAAAACTCACAGAAACGAGAGAGAGAGAGAGAGAGAGAGAGAGAGAGAGAGAGAGAGAGAGAGAGAGAGAGAGAGAGATTTTATTTAGACCCAAGTTCCTTCCTGATATATAAAATCAACTAGATAATTAATAGAGCTCTCTTTGGGAAAATCCACAAGAGCCCTTACAGGGGTCCTCAACTTGGCAACTTTAAGACTTGTGGACTTCAACTCCCAGAATTCCTCAGCCAGAAAAGCTGGCTGAGGAATTCTGGGAGTTGAAGTCCACAAGTCTTAAAGTTGCCAAGGTTGAGGACCTTGCGATTATTCAAAATGGTCCAGCAGATGCTCAGTTTAATACATTTTTTTAAAAAAATAAATTCCTTGCACCATATTGCCTTTTCATAAGATCTACCTTAAATATTTTTAAATAATAAATAAGAGACCCTGGCATGTGTGGTTTTGTTTTGTTGGGACATCAGGTTAATCATTTTCTACTGGCCAAATTTATTTGCCTTGCTCTTTATCTTAGAGAGAAAAGCTTCCATTAGCAGTAAGAATTTACTTTAGACCAAATTAACAAATTCAGGATTCTTACTGGTTTTTACCAAGAGAGTTTAAAGTTTTGTTATGTGCTATCTTTTGAGTATTTGGTATTTGCCTTCTTCTGTCCTTCCTTTTGCAATATTTTCAAAAAAAAAAAATCAAAGGATCTCGAAAGACTGTCCTTGTGCAAAGTCTTATAATCCATTTGTACGTCATTACATAAAAAAACTCAAATGGCAATAAGAGCCGGATAAGGTTTTATTTCTTTTTCCATCCACCTGTGTCCTTCTATTTTCTTTTTTTTAATTGTCGCTCACCGCCCACTCCAGCTGGTACTTTCGCCCACTTCCCATTCGTGATTGGTTAGTCCACATGCTTGTCATGTACAATTCTCCAATCAGAACCTACCCGGTCCTATTCTTAATTGGCGCGTGTACGGAGTTTCTTCCCCGCCTCACTCTGATAGAGTTCGAATCCAGCAGCCTAAGAGGGCGGGGAAAAGGAATTCACGAAATCCGCTTTTGATTCGGCCACGCGCTTGCTCGTCAGAGGCTGCTTCAATAAGAAGCGCCCGTAGTTCACCAGCCTTCCATTCAATGTTAGCAGCGAGCCTGAGGGAGAGAGCGAATTGGTCCTAAGTGAGGAGACGCGGACCGCACAGGTGGGTAAGTGCCGGATGATGGAAATTAATAGAGGCACCTCTGAGGCGGGGAAGGGTTGGAGCAGCGGGGATGGTAGCCAAGTCTGAACGGACGAGGAGAGGGGTGTCTGTGAGGGTGGAATAGCTCCTTTCCCCTCCCTGGCAGCCTTTCCCTTTCCCCCCCCAGTGCCCTTGCTGCTGGACTGGGACCTTGTTTCCCGGAATCCCCAGACTGCTTCTCGACTGTGGATTCTGGGGGATGTAGTCCCAGCGTACTGGGACAAGCGCTGGAATCGAAGAAAGGCTGCAATGTTGGGTGTTTGAAGAGGTCTCCATACGGAGAGGCCGCTGCCGGTTTTGGCCTTCGTTCTCTCTCCCCTCCGCGGGGTGAGAATAGCCTCTGAGGCCGTGTCTCCTTCGGGGCATCGCTGCCGAGGACCCGACGCTTCTTAGGCCCGGCACCCCGGAAGGAGCCGCCTCTTTCTCGACCTCCGCGGAGACTCACCTGCCCGCCAGTGTTTGCCTCCTGTCTACATTCAACTGCCGCCTCCCTGTGATCTCCTTTTAGGTTTCGTCGCCTGGTGCCCTCTAGACAGTGAATCGCATCCATGGCTGAACTAGAGCAGGAGATGATCCCCTTGGTGTGGGGCAAGAAGACCTCACAGGGCCTGGCAGATACCATCTTTTGCCGCTGGACACAAGGTACTTCTCTCCCTCCTCTTTTTTTTTTGCTACCCAAGCCTGTACTTGGATGGCCCTGGCCGCCTCTCTTTTGCTTGGTTCTCCCTCAGCTGTTTCTGGGGAAAATCCTCATTCAAAAAGTCTGTCCATTCCAGTTTTCTGTTTACAACTATTTTTATCTTTGACTCAGGATTTGTTACACTAACTTTCAACTTTGGTGTCACCCAGGAAAGGTAACTGTATGGTATTAAAAACTGGTCCTATCAATTACTACAGTGTGATGACAAAGAGATTGATGCTTCTTACACAGCCAGCTTCCTTTTTCTTTCTCCTCCCTCCTCCATTTCTGAGTTTTGATATTGTCTCTAGAGTTCTTCTCTTTCACATCTCTTGGGATTCTGCCATTTCCAAAACCCTTTTTCAAAGTGGGCAAGAAGTAGGCAAATATACTAACAGAACTGTAATTGAAATGGTTAATGGATTTTTTCCCCTCCCTCCCTTTTATTGGAAATGGGATAATTGGTTAGATTATGCAGTTAGGAAACTTAGTTTAGTTTTTAAAAAAGTATTTACAAAGGTAGCTATATTCTTGCTTTAGAAGATCTGAAGCAGATCATTTCCCACTATTCCTTTGCTCCTGTCTTTATACAGGCAGTAATTGTTTTCTCAGCAATGTTAAATAAATAATGCAGCTGTTTTCACATAGTTAATTTTTAATATCTGGGTTTATTTCTTTAACAAGCATTAATTAAAGGTCTTTGACTCTCTTATAATGGTCAATCTAATAATTGCTCATTCTTCTGTTAAGGTTCTTCAGAGTATTCCTGCATACATAAGTTAGTCTCAAGTGCTAACTATTTTAAGCAAAACACTTAATCTTCTTGCTGTTGCAAAGTGTTGCTTATTTACCTAAATAATGAAGTTTCATCAATTAAAGTAGTTATTATTGCTACAAATACATTTACTGAATCATATCCATATATAGCTACCTTTCTGGAATATTTTTTCTATCCTTTGTATAAGTGTATGTGTGATTTTGTGTAAAACTCGGTTATGAATGTGCTCAGTATGTTCTCAATTGTGGCTTTGTCACATTTGTTTAACAGGTGTCTTTCTACTACTTTTTTCTTTTCTTTCTACTTTCTACTTCTTTCTACTTTTCTAGTTTGATCAAGGGAAAAAATCTCTGACTGGGTTCATTTAGCCTAAATCAGAATGTGATTTATCTAGTTAGTGACTAAATGAATCCAGACATTGTGATTTCTAAAGTATGGTTCATTAACTATGCTTGTTAAACTATACCTTAACATGCTGGGTGATCATAAGCTAAGCAACATGAGAATCTTAGTAATCAATATTATGTTTTATTTAGTTGAAGAGGTACAGTATATACAATCCCATTTTTATCTAGTAATTAAGATATGTTAATATCTAGAGGGATAGCATAAATAATTTAAATGGTTTGTATTTGAAAAACATTGTGTTTTTGAGAAATCTGTTGGGAAGTATAGTCCATATGCATGATTTGACCAATAGAGTTCTATTGGCAGGACTATTACAATGTCCAGCCTGGAAGACTATGAGCCATGCAATTCCTTTCATGTTTTAGTATCACAATACAGGTAGTCCTTGAGCTATGGCAGCAATTTGATCTGATATTACTGTTGCTAAGTGGTGTAGTTGTAAAGTGTGGTATCACATAACTGCCTCAGTTAGTGAAGACAATCTTAGTAGTCCCACTTGCTGTTATAACCCCAAGGTGTGCAGGTGTTAAGCAGAAAGCAGCAGGAGTCCCCAGTAAGGAGTACAAAGGTATTGTGTGGGGGAGGACTGGTGCAGATTGTGCATGAGTTGAGGGCTGGCTTGGAAGGCCTTGCCCAGGCCATATGTGAGCACAGGAAAACTAGGGAGTGGATGGTGCAGCATGAGCACATGAGGGCTAGCAGGATTTAGCAAAATAACTTGTGACTTTCTCTGTCAGCTTCTGCACTGACTTTGTGGGAAGCCAGTAAGAAAGGTTGCAAATGGCAATCATGTGACTATAGGACGTTGCATCAATTAAAAAAATATTTGTAGCTCAAGGTTGAACTTGTGGGTACCAGTTGTAAGTACCACTTATTCAGTGCCACCGTAACTTCAAAGAATCATTGAATGAGTAACTGATAAGTGAAGCCTATCTGTGTTCTTCATCCAAAGGGGAAGACAGCCCTAATTTAGATGAGACACTGTCTCTTATCTCAATAAGAGCAATTTGTTATTTTTTTCTATGAAGTCTGCAATAGGTTGCATACTAATGGCATTACTCGAGTTATGACCATTTGTTCAGCGACTATTTGAAGTTATGGCAGCACTGAACAAAGTTATAGCTGTTACAATGGCCAAGTATCTAAATTGGAGCACTTGGCAGCTCACCTGTACTTATGAGTGCAAAAGCACTTCAACTCCATCTACCCCTATCTCTGCACTTCAACTCCCTCCACCCCCAATCTCTGGCCTTTTGGTTATCTTGTGTTCACTGGTTCTGCCAATCTTCCCACTTTCTAGGGGGAAGTAAAGGCTGACCTTTCTTTCCTGCTGATGAGCCACATAGTGCCTGTCACTTTGCAAGGCAATTGCTAGCCATGCCAGGCCCTCTTCCAAGGCTGGTTCTATCCTGTCAAGTCATATTAGTAGCCAGTACAGTGACTTACCGACTGCTGCTGTTCTATGCTGAAGGGATGATCTTGCTAGTAATCTGTTTCTTTAACAGCTGTATCTTCTGGGTCATTTCCAAAAGTAGTCCTACATGATGCATCTAATGAAGAGTTGACTCTATCACTCATGCCCTTTCTTGCAATCCACAGGACACAGAATGGGCATGGGTCAAGCCTACAAACAATAGCATTCAAACTTCAGAAGATATATCACAATATATTGTCTCACTACAGTGGGCTCTGCCCAGCTGGTACAAACCTGTGCAGATATGTGTTCTTTCAGGTATATAATAAAACATGAGCTGGTTTGCCAATATGATCCTATGTTTGCAGAATGTTCTTGAAACTTTGCCTGTATTATCCTTGTAAAATATCTATTTTGTAAGATATATATCAGTAGCTCTATGTATAATATTGAAATGGTTAAAGTAGTTTCATATTTTGGTTTTCAATTAACTAATGGAAAAGATATAGAAAAATGATAAATTTTACCTTTCACTTCTGATCCTCTTATGTCAAACAATACATCTTTGAGGATTGGGAATGGCCTTCAAAGTACAAGTGTACTGATAGTCCTTAGTTTACATGGTAATTGAGAACAGAATTTCCACCACTAAGCAATGTGGTCCCCTGACTTGTTCATGTCAGAGGCACCTTTTAAGGTGCTTCTGGGTTGAAAGGATTAGCCAGTGACATCACTGTTGCCCGGGAGATGTCCATGTCATGTCTCTGTCAAGGAGCTGGAGCAAATGATGGGAGCTCACTCTGCCACCCAGCAGCACTTGGGTCTGAGACATGGGCTTGCTAAACTTCTGTTCTAACTATGCGAGCCACTGCATTCATTAGCAATGTGGTCATAAAGTGCAATATAGTCCTGGCAGTCTCCCCTGCAGTAGTTATAAACTTGGATTGTTAAGCAAGGATTCTTCACAACTTCCTGCCAGCTTCCAACAAAGAAAGTCAGTGGGGAATCAGGGAGGAAGTCACAAGAAGGTCTTGGGCTTGGGTAGCTGCTGTCAGGCTCAGAGGTATGGCACTAGTGGCTACCACAATCCAGTACAAATCTGCAACTGCCCCAGCCCAGTGGTGCAGTGTTACAACCGCCCCAACCCAGTAATTGCAGTTAGTCCAGCACCCCGGTGCAAAACTTCAGCTGCCCCAGTCATTGGTATGCAGCAGCCCCAGCAGCATGAATCCTAAGTCGCTAGTGCCCAACTGCTCCGATCCAGCAGCATGGTGCAAAGCTCAGTCAGTATGAAGCTGTGATTGCCCCCTGCCCTACACTCTGCTGCCCCATCTGACCTTCATTGTTTTCTTGCTTCTGCTGCTGATAAGCATATTCTGGTCCTTCTCAAGGCAGTTGCTGGCCATGCAAGGTTTTCTTCCCAAGGTCTCGCAAGAAAACTATCATGCATGACCTGGAGAAGAATGCATTGGACAGTCAGCAGTTGCTTTACAAAGGGCAAGGCTGGATGTGCTTTGTCAGCAATGGGAGCAAGAAGATGGAGAAGGTCAGAGTCCGTGGAGTACAGCGGGCAGAAATGGGAGGGGTGTTCATGATGTCCACTCTGCAGTTGGAAATGTACATGATTTTGATTACGTGGCAGCAGGGTATTCCAAATAGCCATAACTACTAGTCATTCAAAACTGTCATAATTTGAAGGTTGTTACACAAGTATTACCTGTAAAATGGAGCCAAGAATTGAAACTGAAGCATATTGTACATGCTAGTCTTATTTAAATGAAATTTGTGAACTATTGAAAACTGTATTGTTTGGGGTAGCTGTTTAAAGAGGCTAACACGTTCTACTTATATATGCTTTTTCCCTTGTTTTTATTTTATTTCTTTAAATCAACTAGTTCAGAAGTGATTTCTTGATACGTTGCAAAATACAGCTAGAAAAACCTTGATCTTTATTTCAGAAAAAAATATAGAAATAAATATGGATAGCAAATGAAAAAGAATGTCATTGCCTGTAGCGCTTATAGATAAGGTTAAGATTTGGAATGTTGAAGAACACAAGTTTGATAAAGAATATTTTTTCAAAAATATGCTAAAGTTTATTAATATACACATTTTTTAGAAATAGCTAACTGAATTTTTTTATTTTCCTCAGGGTTTGTGTTCAGTGACTCAGAATCTACTGCATTAGAACAATTTGAAGGAGGCCCTTGTGCTGTAATTGCACCAGTTCAGGTAATAATGCTAAGATCACAGTAAATGAACCTGAAAAATATGTTTCATTAAATTCGATAATTTAAATCAGTTGTGGTATGCTATCTAGGTAATCTGAATACTGAATTTAAAACTCAGTATAGGTACCTCAATTTACAACCGTTCATTTAGTACCGGTTCAAAGTTACTACGGCACTGAAAAAAAGAGACTTATGACCATTTTTTACAGTTATGACCATTGCACATCCCTATGATCACATGATCAAAATTAGATGCTTGGAAATTGGTTCATATTTATGACAGTTGCATTGTCCTGGGGTCATATGATCATCTTTTGCTACATTCTGACAAGCCAGATTCACTTAACCATGTTAATAACTTAACAATTGCAATGATTCACTTAACAATGGTGGCAATAAAGGTCATAAAATGAGGCAAAACTCATTTAACAACTGTCTCACTTAGCAGCAGAAGATTTGGGCTCAACTGTGGTCATAAATCAAGGACTCCCTGTATTTTGAGATGTTGTAGTCTGCAATATTCATTTAATACAGTGTATTAAGTACTACAATTACAAATCCAATGTTCAAGTTTCAGCAACACTTGATTTCCAACTGGTGTTTCTGAATCCCTTACTTGACATGAAATGCTTCCTATTTTTTCATGTTAGAGTAGAATGTATGACAAAAGGGATTACACTTTGTTCAGAATCCTGTTTAATATGCAGTGATATATTCAGGTATCTGTAGTTGTTAAACAACATGGAACTAAAATAGTAAATTCTATATTTGCATAAGGGAAAATGTTTTCAGTATTTGGGAATATTTATAAATATCCCCCTCCCCCAAAAAATATTAAACCAATGTTGAAAATGGAAACACTTTGCACCACTGAAGATCAAATCATACATTTCTGATATGTCAGTATTGTCTTTATTACAAGGCATTCCTTCTGAAGAAGCTTTTTACTGGTGAGAAATCTACCTGGAGACAGTGTCAAGGTAACTACAAACCTACATCACCAAGAGGGTTATAATGCCATATTTGCAAAATATGTGCTAAACCAAACAGTAATTGTTATTTATAATCAGTGCTTATTAATCTGCATAATTCTGAGAAGATTATGCGTTTGCTGATGATTTTACAAATAGAATGGTAACATTAAACTTAAAAATAGAATTTAGGCTTATAAGTCTTAACAGGAAATCCAATCATGCAGAATGAAACAACATACAAATTAAGCAAGCATCAGAAATTTATATACTTCTGTTCCAATTGCATGCTAGAATTTATTGACCACTATGTTCAGAAAGGATAAAAACACCTGGCTATTTATTTATTTGTATCTTGCCTTTATTATTTTTACAAAGGCGGCAAACATATCCCACACATCTTCCTCCTATTTTTCCCACATAATCCTGTGAGATGGGTTGGGCTGAAAGGAATGACTGAGAACAAACTGTCATCTTCTCTGGCATTGTTGAAGGAATGGAAGAGATGCATTTACTGTCTGATTTAAACTCTATATTGGATCCAATTGGCTAATCTAAACTTTGCCTTTATTGACACATTTAAAGATAATGAAGTATTGCTTGCCTTTGGTTTATTCCAGGATGCCCTGGAATGATCCAAATTGTAGTTAGATGATATGATATATATGTGATATATGATATAATAACTACAGTTTAGATCAGTCTAACCAAATCAATATATCCTAACTTATTTAACCTAACTGCTTTTCTTCTTGACTATTCTTGATAGAAAAAGATGAAGTAGAAGGAAATGCAAGAGTTCAGGGTATATCAAGGTTGATTCCTGTAGCTCTGAACTATAGATTTATGGGTCAGCTGAGCCAACAGGAGTAGTATAACTGAAGGAGAGAGTGAGCCAGGATGAGAACACTTAATTTACAAATACCTCCTTGTCATGCCCAATAGTTTAAACAGCTTAAAATTTTGAAATGACAAAATACTAGATAGTTCCCAAGAAATGGATGAAATTCAAAGCCATTGATCGTTAGTTCTTTTTCTAAATTGTCTTGAACCTGCTGGGATTTGAGGAAGAATCAAGATTAGATTGTACAAAGAATGTTGCTACATGTTTTGCATGAAAGTTCCTGGTCAAAAATATATCTGTTCTGATTTTGAATATTTCAGAAGAAGAGCAAAAAAATCTTCTTTGTTATGCATTATGTGAAATTTTGGAAATGACTTGCTCTGATCATTCAGAGTCATACTGTTTGGCCACATGGCAAAGAGGAAATCCTGTGCAAGATACTGCTAATATTTCTGAAAGTTCAGCAGAATCAAGCCATCAAGAGGAGCAATCATGTAAGATACTTTTTGTAATACGATTCAGGAATACTTTGTGCTTTTTATACAAAATGTATTTTTCAAGATATAGGATTATTTAACATTATTCTACAGATAATTTTGTCCTCTGTTCCTAATTTTCTTTACCCCTAGTAGTCTAAGTTTGATAGACGTACAGTAGGCTGCGGTATTTATATTGTTGATATTCTGACTGAATCAGAATATGGTAACATTTTTGGAGCCATGGTGGCACAGTGGTTAGAATGCAGTATTGCAGACTAATTCACCTCACTGCTAGAAGTTTGATCCTTACCGGCTCAAGGTTGATTCAGCCTTCCATCCTTCTGAAGTTGGTAAAATGAGGACCCAGATTGTTGGGGGCAATGTAAACTACTTAGGGGGCTGTAAAGCATTGTGACGCTGTATATAAGTCTAAGTGGCATTGCTATTTTGACTTAAGCTTTTGTTTTTTAAAGTCATACTAGTTTTTGTCTCCATACCTAATTGGAAGCATATAAACATTCCAAGCTGAAATATTTCAACCCTAGACAATTCATTCCAAATCCTAATTAAATATAGAAAAGCATGTTTCAAAAGTGGACCACTTCTGGTAAAGTCAAAATGAGAAATTTTACTTTTAAATCATTCCAGTTTTAAAATGTTTTTCTTACATTCAGTTTCTATTAGGTATGAATATAATATTTATTGGCTAGGCTGTGGCACTTCCTGTTTGCTCATTTTTTATTCTGTTTTAACCTAATGGAGTTGTGAAGAACTAAATATGTTGCCACCTGTACAAGTGCATCCAAAACAAAACTGTTGGTTAGATAGAATGTTTTCAGACTATTTGCTGCTGTCAAAGAATTCCCAACTTATCTAGAATGTAGAGTCCTTTAATGTTTTCATGCAAAACCTAGTTGAATATAGTCATTAATATATCATTAATATTTGTGCAGTCCATGTAATTTGTTCACTGCTAAAATATTTAATGCCTTTTTAAGCCTACAGGAATGTATATTTTGGAAAAATACATGAATGAATATGAAAATATGTAACTTTATTTTCAGGTTACTGACTCATGAAGAGTGCTAACCATGTTATAGTGAAGGAATAATGTTTGATAAGATTCTAAAAGCTTTAAATGATTTATTGCTAGCCCTTGCTTAGCAACTGGTGACTTAGCGACTATCTGAGGTTTCAACAGACATCCCCATTATGATCTGATTACAAAGTTCCAATGCCCACAGTCTACCCCCTTTGATCATATGTTCATATTATGGAAGCTTGGCTACTGGCTCATATTTATGACAATTTGCAGCATCTTGTGGTCACATGACTAGGTGTTTTTGCTAGTTTCCAGTATAAAGTGCTCATTGGGGGAGAATGGGGTTGGTTAATGAACATGACATTCTAAAAACACTCTAAAAACAACAACAACAACAATTAATAATAATAATAGTAGTAGTAGTAGTAGTAGTAGTAGTAATAAAGTTGGAAGGGACCTTGGAGGTCATCAAGTCCAACCCCCTGCTCAGGCAGGTAACCCTATACCATTTTGGACAAATGGCTGTCCAGTTTCTTCTTAAAAACTTCCAGTGTTGGAGCATTCACCGTTTCTGGAGGCAGGGCATGGTCATGTGGTAACCTTAACAATCATCAAAACTCACAACCATAATTCCAGGCTTAATTACAGTCAAACGTTGAGTACCTGCACTTAAATATTCCCTTTTGCCTACTTTGCACAATACTTGATGTTTGATGACAAAATGCTAGAGAAAGAATCATTTTCTTTTCATATATGGGGCTATTTATATTAGCACAGGAATAAGAAAAAGAAAATTTAAGTATATGGCTATTTCATTGTAACTCAGATTTTATTTGAAAAAAAATTAGCACCACCTAATTAGAGTGTAGTTTTATTTAATTGGGTCTAAAATAGGTTGGCAAAGAAGATCATTGCTTTATCATGTAGTAAATTAGTTAAGGTGCCACAGATTTCCTTTTTGCATTAATGTTAGTAACACAGATCCATCACATTAAGGCTCATTTAAGTTAAATTTGAGATGAAGGGACATTGTTCTGATAAAATAAATTTGTCAGTAAAATGATACTGCTCCATGATATATAACAAGTGGTGCTGAGAAAAAAAATGCTGAGCATCTATTTTCCTATTCAGTGCTTTATTCATAATTGCTAGAATATGCTTATGATTTATCACTTCTTCCCATTTTAAAGGAATAAGTTATGAAGCAGTGGTTATTCTCCTTATTCTGGTACATGCTTCTCATGGAACAAAAAATGTAATTATGAAACTTATTCTAGTGGTAAAATATATTGAAGGTGGTAATTGCAAAAACAAAAATTGAGATTTTTTATTATATTTATACTTGTACTTGTCTGTTCATATTATTAAATAAATATTAATCAGCTTACAGTGACTAAGTTCTTGTTTCATGCAAGGCTTTGATTTCTATTGTAATGTTCCTCTTTCCATTGTTTCTCTCTATTCTATACTATTGCACTTCGTTCAGGCTCAGTAAAATTGATAACTATATAAGGATTGCTTGATTTGTTTGTTTTATATTGACTATAAAATGCAGGCTTATAGGTTCAGATATTTACTTTTCTTTCAGGTTATGCATGATATGATATTTTTTAGGTGCAATAAATATTTAAATACTTTTCATTAAGGCTTATTGTTTATGCTTAGTTATTGTTTCAAATGTATTTATTACACAACTTTACATTATATTTTTTATTAATCAAGTAGCTTAATATAAGATTTTTTTTGTTATTTAATATCTGACTTGCAACTGTGTTTCTTTTATCAGAAGTAAAATTCTTTTTATAAAATTCAATATCTACAATCATTCTTTAGATATTTATTGTAAACTGCCCAGAGTTCCTTTATGGTAAGATGGATGGTCAATAAATTTAATTAAATAAATATTTAGCATATTTATAATAGATACAATACTGTTATGTTAATCTAACTGTTAATATACCCCTAAATTGCTTATTTTCATTGCCTAAGAAATTCATTAACTAAGTAAATCTATTCCACTTAGAACCTTTAAACTGATTAGCATTGGTTACGTTGAAAAACTCACTTTAATTTTCTTTGAAAAAGTGAGAAAAGTTGGTAAAAGGTTTGAATTGGAAAGGTACTAAATGTAGCATTTTTTCCACTGTTTGGTTACTTATTAAAAAAGGCAAAATATTTCTTAAAAGATGCATGCTTCTAGTTTGCTGTTTTATAGTGAAACAACAGCCTTGTTACACTAATTCTGTTCTGTAATCCAAAGTATTCTAAGTTATCCTTTTATCCTTGTGCTTGGTGACTTTCCTTCAGTAGTTTTCATAATTCATGTCAAACTGACTCTGGTTTGCACAGCTGTTGAAATTCAGTGATTTTGTAATCTTAGCAATATTGACTCTTAATTACATTAAACTAGCACGTACAATGTAACAGAAGTTGTACTGAAAGAAGGTGAAGGATGAACTTTCATTATGAAAAGCTTGAAAGTATTCCAGCTTGCTGTGTGTTTCTTGTGTCACTTTTGGTCGTGTTTAGTGCTAAAAAGTATTTCTTGTGTATAGCTGCCTTGGCTGCCGAAGAGTTTGGCTTTGAACGATTTCATGCACTAATTCAGTAAGTAATATGTTGCAGCTCTTAAAATATTCAAAATTATCATTTTAAGATATAAGTTTAGTATTGTTTTATCCCATGTAACTGAATATCAAGATCAAACCTGCTTAAGCTCATGCAACCTGCTGCTTTAAAGACCAGAAAGAAACATACTGTTAGGTGTAGTATGAAATAATACCTGGGATTTTACATGAATTTTTGAAATAGAAAGAAAGAATGTTAAGTGTGCAGACTTCAGGGCCTATAATTTTCTCTGTCAAAGCTATTTTTTCTCAATAGTTTTACAAATTTAAAAATTATTAAAGCCATTCAGTCGCCTCAATCCACAAGATGGGCAGCAAATGAATTCAACAGTAATAATAAGATAAAATGTTATCAGTGGTACTTCTGTTGTGTGAGCTATGCTAGTTATCAGTAATTTTCCAACAACAGTTCAAAGTACTTACTGATTTATAGAGCCGTACAGCTAGGGTATATTCCTAGCTGTCTGATGGACTGCTTTTCTCCCATTGTTTCTGCTCATTGGATAAGATCTGAGCCAATGGGTAGGCTCTGGTTCCCATTATCTGATGGGTCCCAGGTGAGGTGCCTTTTTTATCATGGCACCCACTCTTTGAAATAGTGTATTCTGAAGGCTAGTATTGCTCCAACCTGACATCCTTTAAATCCGGGGTCTCCAGGGTTGAAGAATTCTGGGAGTTGGAGTCCACAAGTCTTAAAGTTGCCAAGGTTGGTGATTCCTGCTTTAAATGGATCATGAAGTCTTCATTATTTATCCAGATGCTAGTTTAGGAAGAATGTGCTTTTTAATTTTTATTGTATTGAATCTGTTTTTAATTTGTATACTGCTTAAAGTCATTATGAATTTGGCAACCTATAAATTTTATATATATATGTGTGTGTGTGTGTGTGTGCATTCATTTACAATATATATGTTACTAGTAATGTGTGAAAAGCTGGCATTGTATAGAATGCCTAGGAAATCTATAGAATGCATGACATTTTTAGGAAAGTGTGAAATGTCTGTTATTTTAATATGCTATATACTTTCCCTAGCGTTGCCTATAATATATAAGCATTATGCAGAATGACAACTATTTGAGCAAAGTATGAAAAAAGTCATGAAAATTATTAGGATTAGGGTTTATTTAAAACATGTATATGAAGATGAAAGAAGAAATGCAAAATAAATTACAGGACCTTACTGGAAAAAAAAAAAAAACAAGAGAAAAATACCAATGTTGAAAATACTACTATTTGTTGCAACAAGGAAGGCTAGAATGGCATTTTAGCAGGAGTATTTTATACTTTGCAGGATTGCCTTTTGGCATTGCATAGAATGCATAGAAATGTGTGAAATATTAAGTGTTTTCATACTTTTACATCCCATTTTGACATTACCTAGGCATTCTATAAAATGCCTAATTTCACCTATTAAATGTATAAACATAGTGAAGATTTTAATAACATACCCATTTTCTCTATAACAGATGTGAAATCTTAAATATGCTTCTAAAATTTTGATTTATTCTGCTATATTGACGCCACTAATAATGAACAACTGCTATAACCACTGTTTCTCCCCATAAACAATTGCTCTTAGTTATCTTGCAAATACATTAATAACAAGTACTGAATGCCTTTTGAATGTCCTACTGACTTTTTGTTTTTAATATTTAGCAAACGTGCATATGCCAACTTTTCTGATTTCAAAGATGCAGTTTGGAATCACCATGCAATGTGGGCAAATAAATTTGGAGTGCTACTTTTTCTGTATTCTGTGATACTTACTAAGGTGTGTTTTTAAAAGAAAATGTTGATTTATGACACTCTAGAAACAGAAGTTAATGTTTATTTTAGAACCTCTAAAACAGCTTCATTAAATTATACGAGTTAGGCTTCTAGCACAAGCATATGTATGTGTGTGTTTATATAATTGTAGGTTCTAGTCTTTGCTAGTTCTCTTAAGTTTATTTCTGAAATGATTGTAATAGGGTTGGTTAGAGGAAAAAGATTAAAGAATATTTTAAATATATTATGTATTTTTTCCACTTAAGATGAACAGAATAATATTCATTTTATTTTAAAGAGTAATAGTACTTGTATATAAGCTGAATTTTAAGTCTTTGCTCAAAAATATGGAGGCTTTGGTACTTTATATAGTCTGGATTTTCTTGAAAGATTCTGGAATCAGTTGAAGTGACTTTTAGTTTTATACCACAATAGAAGAGGATATTGAATAGGATAGTACTTATTGGCAATTAATTTATGTGAAAAAAATAAACAAATTGTAAGGTAAGTCACTTGTTTGAATTTTCAGTCACAACTAACTCTCAGCTTAGCTAAAACTATTAAATATGCATGCTAAAGAATTGGGAAAAATGTATTTCTTAACACAAATGTGTGGCCATTATCCTATAATTTTTAAGGGCATTGAAAATATAAAAAATGAAATTGAAGATTCATCTGAACCATTGATAGATCCTGTTTATGGTCATGGAAGGTAAGCTTTGTTGTTTCTATCTTCCTTAAACTAGTGACTGAACAAATGTTATTTTAAACATAGCACTAATTATGTAGTAATAATAATAATAATAATAATAATAATAGAGTTGGATGGGACCTTGGAGGTCATCTAGTCCAACCCTCTGCTCAGAGGACACGCTATACCAATTTCAGACAAATGGCTTTCCAGTCTCTTCTTAAAAACTGTAATGTAATAATCATCAATTGAAAAAAAAATGTGAAACTAGCTTTTTATATAATATTTATTACTTGTAAGTAATTCTTACAAAGTTATATGTAAAATTAGTTCTTTATGCCTTGTAATCTAAAATGAATGTCTTGGCTATTCAAAAAGGTTTATGCACAGGATATTGTTTTAATATGAAGTTGAGTGAGTAGTTAAAATATCTAAACTTTTTTTTAGCAAAAAAAGCAACAGTGCAATTATCAAAAACCTTTTCTTCTGCTTTTTAAGCCAAAGTTTAATTAATCTTCTGCTGACGGGGTTTGCAGTATCTAACGTTTGGGATGGAGACAGGGAATGCTCAGGAATGAGTAAGTACAGATTTGATTTGCCTTATAGTAATGTTGAGTAAAGGAAACCTATTTATTGCCTTTGCTTTGAATTTGAATTGCATGTAATTCAGATAAGTTAATCCTGATCATTAATTGAAATGATCAAATGTTTCTGTTTAATGAGTGCTTCCTACTGATAATCCCTCCAGGTATGCAATCAAGCTTATTTTCCACAACATTCTGGACAGGTATTATTGATAAACTCATTTTCCATAAGGTTTTATTTCAGGCTTAAAAAGCTAGAAATAATAATTGAATATCAATAAAATGTTTAAATGAATTGTATACCATAGAAAATCATAATTTCATTAAACTGTTATATTACCTTTGTGTGTAGAATGGATTCTTCATTGACCCCGTGTTTTAAGCTATTTTCATCTAAAATTAGATTGTAATAACAATTAAGCTAGATAGAAATAGCTTAAAGTGCCAGACCATACTGCAAATAGCCCTGAGGTTCCTCTTTCCAAAGATACAGTTAATTCATCCTGTAAGATTTTAATCTTACAGCCTGGAGATATTTTTGATCTTAAAAAGAAAAATCTAACATTAAATAATCACTCTATTTTATTGCCAAAGTGATGCAACACTTTTTTTTTTTTTTTGTGATCTCAAAAAATTGGATTGGAGGTTGGACTCCAAAACTGAAAGGAATATTACCCTAAATAGGTTCCTACCATTTACATTAGGTGCAACCAGGTTTTGCTCCTTTACTAATTTTTTCACTCCTTTTCCAATTTTAAACCATTTAATTGCTTTTGAAATGTTTCTTGGTCATCTTAGAAATGCTTCATTTTTTTAAAGAGCTGTCTACAATTGGATGTAGTCTATACAAACTACATCTTTTGTATAATTAATAAAGCAGACATACCTAGAAACTAACATGAGAGAGAAATTCAATTTTGTCTAGCAATTTGAGGGTTTTTAGTACATACACATTCACACACACAGAGAGACAGACAAACATATATTGGAATATAAGTAAATGTTTGCTCATTTTTCAGTAATTGTTGTACTTCAGACTTTAAGTTACAGATATTCCTTGACATGACTGATACTTAATGACCAGCCGAAGTTACTATGAACTAAAAAAAAGTTATTTAAAACTCATTCTTGAAGTTAAAAACCGCTTCACCACCACCTTGGTCACAAGATTACATTTTGAACACTTGGCAGTTGGCTCATATGTGCAACCAGTTGCAGTGTCCCATGTTCATATTATCATATTTTGTGACTTTTTGCCATTTTCTGGCAAAAAAAAACACCCATTGGATCAGCTGGATTTGGACATATGGCCATGTGATTCATTTAACAACTATGATGATTCACTTAATGAGTAAAAATGGTAATAAAATTGAGTCTACTACATAGTGGCTTGATTTATGATTAAAATTTTGGAATTAATTGTAGTTGTAAGTTGAGGATTACCTGTATCCTGCCAATAAATGTGCAGTATTTTTAATCCACAAGATGGCAGTAGCCCCTAAAGAAAAAAAAATGCTAAATCTTTTAGAAATCATCAGACAATAATAAAATGCTGTTTAATTATTAACTTGGTGTGCAAATGAAAGAGTTAATTGCTAAGTGTATTAAAACTGGATCCTTAAAAGTGTTTTTATGCAATCAAATTGCTATGATAGTATGCTGCTGAAAAATGTATCAGATTCTATCCCTGAATTTAGCCTTGTGACAATGTCTGAATGAAAGTTTAATCCCCATATCACTTTTTGTTTTAACCAAGTGGATGTTGCATATATTGCCATGTTTTGTAATTTGATTAACTTATTATTGGAAGACATAAAACTATGATTCTGTGTTGTTCTATGTTTGAAAGAAAGAGCTTGAAATAACAATGTAGAAAAATTGAAATAGAATGTAAAATAGCATTTGCCCTAGTATATTTTTGTACAGCATCTAAGCAATATTTCTAGAATAAAAATGTTGGATACTATACATAGATACACACATAATAAAATCTCTTTAAATCTGTTTTATGTCCTGCTCCTAATCCTTTTTTTTAAAGTTTCATTCCTTACAGTACATATATATTTCTATGGCATATGTGTGTACCTTTTGGTCCAGTCTTTAAGCCTGAGACCTAGGTATATAAACTGAAATGTTACTAGGAACAGGACTGTTGGTTTAGCCCCTTCCTATATTTTTATAAAGCATTTAATTTCCATTGGTATTCTTGAATATGTTTTTATTTTGGTGATTATTATCCAGAAATTATGTTGCTATTGCTCGTTACAACAGCTTAATTTTTGTGGCATTTTAGGCTCTGGTGATATATTATTTATATATTATTATAGTGTAAAAAGGCCAGTGCACATATTATAGATATTATGTAATACCTTAACCAAATAAATGTAGCAATGTTTAGTCAGTTTAGCTTAGTTTCCTTTATACTCTAGCTGAGTTTCTTGAATTCATAAGAATTTGTTCTGATCCTTCAATTGTGCAGTCCTTTTCTGATGTGTGCTTTTCAGTTATTATGTATTTGTATATCTTATTTCATTAAACATAAACAATACTTAAAATAGGAAGAAATATTATTTTATTATTGCTTATTTCAGTTGTATTACCCCTATATATTTCTGTTTGCCATTCACTTTGTTAATATAGAACAAAATTTCATAGTGTGGTTTAACTAAGAAAAAGAACTAGGAATCGGACTTTGAATAATCTAATACAGGAATGTTGTTTCTCTTCAGAATTACTTGGAATTAATAAACAAGGAGCTGTTGGTTTTTTGACACTCATGGAATCTCTGAGATACTGTAAAGTAAGATTTTTAAAGCCTGTCATGTGAAAGCATGAGGGATGAATTATGTTACTGAAAAAATAATTCACTTATCTCTAATGAATGAAAGCGTTGCCCAGTGTTAACTTAAATTTCTTATATAAGATACAATTACATAATTTTTTACATAAATTATAAACTTGCCTTCCTGGATGCTCCCTTTAAGTTTTTGTCTCTAGCCACAAAGATACTGCTTGATTTGGTTCTTTCTTGTGGCTATGTCAGTAGTTTCCTTTGAAATACCAATGTCTAATGCCCAAATTATACCCATTCACATCTTAAATGTATACATTTATTTCATCTAAACCAACATCAAATTTCTTTAGTTCTATATTCAACAAATTAATACAATACTATATGTGGACTTTTTGTAGTCTTTGAATATGGCATGGAAGCATGAATGATATAAAATTAGAGTTCTATATAAAAACTAGAGTTCTATATTTATATTTACAAATATATATTTATATATTTATTTTAAATCTACAATTTTCTTCTTTTTAGCATCCACTGCTACAGTAGTTAAAAGTGTTAAAAGACCTCAGAATGTTCCCAATTGGAAATTAATTTTTTTGTTGCATGCTTAACTCTCTTTAATATATTAGCAGTCAGCCATTAACGTTTATTAGGTATATGTGATGCTTCGAATGCAGAGCAGAAAATGTATTTCTGAACACATGTAGGGATACAAGTAACATCTGTTGGCAATGCTTTAAGCCAAACATATCTTTTCCTAAGATTGTATTACAGCTGTGAAAGGTTGCTGCATGATCCAGAAAAAAGACTGTTTTAAGAAATTACTGACAAGTGCTATAGAAGCATTTCACTATGTTCTGAAACATCTTTTTCCATTCCAATACAAATCACTCCATCAACTTGACATTTATATCTCACCTCAGTTTAACCTCATAGCAACACTTTTGTCAACTACATAAGGCTCTGAGAAAGACTGGCTCAAAATTATCTAATATGTTTTGTGATCAGACCTTAATCTAAGTCTTAGCATTATAAACTAATACCTTTATCAAATGCCATACTGAATTTTTATTTTTATATTTGTTTCTTATTTTAGTACAGAAGTTAAATAAAACTGATTCTCACCCCTGATTTATAATACTTTTCATGGAACGCAATTTAAGTCATAGTTAGAAAGCCAATGTCCAGATATAGAGTTCTTTTCCTTAAGAATACTCTGAGTCTTGTTTACCCACCAATATTTTGAAACAGAAATATGCATTATGTGCTGTATTAGAAATGTGCTAATTCATTTTTGTTTTGTTTTAATGTTCTTGTTTTTCTTAGGTTGGATCCTATTTGAAGTCTCCAAAATTCCCTATTTGGATACTTGGCAGTGAAACTCATCTTACAGTCTTTTTTGCCAAGGTAGGATTCTTCCCTTTTTATTTCAATGTTTAGGGCCAAATAATCCTCTTTGAGTCTTACAATTCAAGTTTTTCTTAAAGTATAATAGTTTTTCCACAGAATAGTGTTTGTATTTTAAAACAGATTGCTAATACTGAAAGTTATATGAAAGATATTTCTCCAAATCTATTTGACTTAAAAGATGTTTTAAACATGTGGCTTGTTATGATTGCAATATCTTCAAAACATTCTTGATTGTTTGGTATGGCAAAGAAACAAAACCCCTTTGTAATATTTTTTTCAGAAACAACAAATCCATACATGGATATTTTTAAAATGTTATGTATTATATTACATGTATTATAATCTGTGATTTTTCAGTGCTGCAAATAAATGGTGATTCTGATTTAATCCAGAACCGCTCATCAAAACAAGAAATGGCTTTGCTGTTGCTTATGTTAAATTGATTTTTTTTATGAGCCGAAGAGTTGAAATTTGCTTCAGTTCAACATTATTTAAATGTTGAATTAAATCCTCCATCATTCGGTTTCTATCAAATTTGCAGTAACTGAATGATTTTTTAAAAAGAAAAGCTAAGAATAACCAGCAGAAAAACAAATAAAAGAAGCATCATACTAAAGGAATTCAAGACACTTTAATAAGGAAAATATTAAGTAAAAATAATGAATTTCCAGAAAAACTAAAGAACTTTCTGTTGTTTTGAGCATTAATGATACATGTATTCATGATCAAAACCAAACTTTAAACTTCCTTATAGCTTATTTTTTAAGATATGTTTATGCAAGGCAGAATTAGATCAGTAAGCAAAGTTATGCCATTTCTGTGTTGCTGAATCTAGCACACCTACATTTTTTTCTAACTAATTTTATTGTGTATAAATTCTAAATGTTTTACTACTCATGATTAACTGTGGACCATAAAAATAGAATTGTTTATATACCTAATGGGTTGAATTTATTTATTTTTCCTTTGGAAGAAAAATCTATTTTCTGTCTACTCCCTTTCAAGTTTTTAGCAATTTACTGCTAAATGAAATAACTGCAAAATATTTTATATTTTAAATAGGTGTAGATACCATAGTGTATGAACTACAATATTCAGAAAGTTCATACAGTGGTTTCTTATTGAAGACATATCAAGACTGCCTACTTCTGAACGTACAATACAAAATGTTTTGACCATATATAAGCTGTATCATTTTGAATACAAACAAATAAGAACTGACCTATTGAAAAATAAGAGAAGATGTGATGCAAACTATCTTATTTTGTACCACTTTGAGAAATAAAAGCAATATTGTCCTATTCTATTTTTTATAAATACATTATTCTTTGTATCCAAGATCCAAAGAACTGAAAGTATATTGTTTAAAAATCTAGTTAAATCTAGTATGGATTTTGTTGCATGATATACTTTACTTCAAAACAAGTCACCCATTTTTTCACATTTATGTAATCTGCTATATGCTTTAGAGCTGACTTTGAAGACTCTTAATATATGTCAAATAAGAAATGTTAAAACTTTGTTAATACTGGTGCAATTATATGGATAACAAAAATTTACTAGTCTGTTTGTCGCTTGTTAGCTATTTGATCATCCTGTAGACAGTAATGTATTTGACAGCTGTTGACTGCCCACCTACGTTGCATATATTCTTGTATACAGCATTTAGTTTCATTCTTTACAAGTGCAATTAAATAACCTTGCAAATTCATTTCATGTTGTCTTTTGAAGTGGTAAGAAACAAGTCTGATTTTTTTCATTGTCTCCTTGTGTTGAAATGTGTATACCAATATATTACTTCCTAGTAAGAGAAAAATACTAAGGAGACAGTGTAATTTTTTTTTTTAAATCTTAGTCTTGTGCTTAGTTATTCTGGATGTTATTTTTAACTGAATATTTTGCAATTTAAATTTCTACCTGTCAGAAAAGAAACACATGAATTACGCAAACGGCTCAGATTATTACACATAATTTCAGATTAAACTATTTTGATTATGCTATGGTATATTAGCATGTTCAACATTGTAATATAATATTAAATCCAGTTCTGATACAGATGCTGCTCTGTGTGCAATGAGATGATTTTAAAACAGTCTGGATATTAAATAGCCATAGGATTAAAGAATAATTTAATTTATATCACTGTGGTCATAGACTTCAACTAGCTATTGTCCTCTGAGCACAGTGTGAATTTAATTATCAAATACTGCCCTTATATGAAAAGTATTTAATTGCTGACATCCTGTATTTAAATGATGTTGCTTTGTAAACTGGGTTAAGCCAATATAGGACTATAACACTGAAATAAATAGAAGATAAAATTAAGTCCATACTTTTTTTTAAAAAAAAATTCTTCACTAAGAAGAAAAGATGTATAAAATATAAAACTTGAATAGTTCTTTTGTTATATATAGTAACTGCTTCTTTGATCTAAATGACTGAGGTTGTTTGGCATGTCTCAACTCAGTATAGCCTTATATTATACTGAATTAGTAACAAGATTAAATTTAAGTGTACTTTTTTCAATCTTACGACAGTTCCAAATAGATTTGAAAAGGTTTCAAGCTGTACAGAACATTTTGAACACATTTCTATCACTATTTTTCTATGTTGCTATATGGCCATACTTAACCTGAATTAATTGTAGCCTGAAGTGAACTATTAATTGAATTTTAAACCTTTTATTTTTCCTTTTTCTTCAAGGAGGATTGACACTTATATACATGCACACATACATACTGTATTGTATTGTAATTGTGTATAGATTCATCCTATTTTTAGATTAACAAAATTTAGAAAGTTTTTAAAAATGGTTTGTTAAAACAGAATCCAGGAAATTCTATCAGCAGTTCTGTTGCTGTAGGGTTTGTGTGTGCTGTTTTTGATTTCTAAGAATGAAAACAGCTGACAAATGTTCATTAAAATATACTAATGGACTATGTGTGTTTGCCTTCCAGGGTAAACATGAGTTCCTAAAATAAACCTATATTATCAAGGAAAACTAGATTTAAATGGCAGCAAAATGGACAGTAAGAATAGTAATATGATTTAAAGAGTGAAACACTATATGTCTTATCTTTGTGATATGGTTTGCTTTGAAAAGAAATTAGAAAACAGCAAATATGATTTCTTCTATAGAAAATAAGGAATTTAGGATGTATTTTGATAATATGCATAGCCTGAGTGAGTGCTTGTGTTTGGCAGGAGGTTTGGAGATTTGGAAGATAAAATAAATACATATGGGGAAAGTTTACATGTCAATAAATATTACTGCTGCCAAGTGTGAATGAATATTTTGCTTTTCAGTATTTTGCAGTAAAAATACTTTATTCAATAATAATGAGAGAGAATCAAAATTTAATGTAACAAATCTAATGAGAGAAGTTTTGTAAAGCTAATTCTTTCACTTGTGATATACAGTAAGAGCTTCAATGTCCAATGTTTTTCTCAGAGCATCAAGTAAGAAATCAAGGAAGAAATAATACCTAATCAGACAATTACAAAGGAAGAAGCTGCAGTCGTCAACACAGAGCAAGCTGCTATATATAAACAGCAAGAAAACCCTATTTGCTTGCTATTTATATAGGGAATGCAAATCTCCCTTGCACTGATGATGTTACTTAGCTGAGTTATGAAATGTCTGCAAGAAAACAACTGAGCTTAGACAGCATCAAAAATTCAATAGTCCTTGATCATTCAACATTAAAAAAAATGTTAGAAAATCTCAAAACCTCAATTTGGGAATTTATAACCCTTTTTGTTCTCTAGTACAAAGCTTAAAGTCATTTTACCTGCATTAAAAGATGCATATTAATCAAAAATAATTGCAAAAGGCCTTGTGTATCACTTGTTGGTATGCTAATCTGGACTGTCAAATAATGAGTCTGTAGCTATTTATCTGTTTAGTATAATCATCTGCTAGAGAGATATCTTGTGAAGTAAGATTCATTATCATTTGTGATGTTTCCTAGTTGGTAAGTTGGCAAACTATTGTTTTCTTACAAGATCTCATTAAAGTAATGTTCTGTTCAAGCATTTTCCTAATAGTCCATAGGTTATAAGGGATCACATGTAAGACAGTTTATGGAATAGCGTTTAGATGAATGAGGAAGGAGAAGCAGTAAAATGAGTAGAAGGAGTGAGAAGGTGATCACATAGAAACAAATGGGGTGGCCCAGGAAGGAATATTCCTTTTGTATGCAACATTGAAAACATAGAGGAAGGGCAGAACTTCTTTCCTTTCTCCATCAGCTCACAATTTTTTTTGTGGACTTGTATGTTCATAAGCTTGTGTAGGTAGGAGGCTATGGAAAATTATTTTTAAAGCTTCTTTAACCACTGTTTGATGTGGTATTATGAATTATCTTTTAAATATCTAAATCTAGATAGTCTATGTAAAGACCTCATGCTATTTTTTTATAGTAAAAATACAGTTTTGTCAGACTTTTTCTAGTGGTTTCTTCTAGAACAGTGGTTCTCAACCTGTGGGTCAGGACCCCATTTGGGGTCGAATGACCATTTCACGGGGGTCACCAAACAACGCAGTCTGCCCTTTCCCCCCCCTTTTCCTTAGCTGTGCTACTCCCTTTTATTCTATTGGCTTTTGAAAGCCAATAGAATAGACTCTCTTGAATAGAGTCTAATTCTATTGGCTTTCAAAAGACAATAGGAATTGTCCAGGCTGTCTCTGCCCTGCTGAGCCCACCAAAAGTCCCATTCTGCAAACGGTGCTGCACCAGTTGAGTAGTCCTCGACTTACGACTGGTTGAGTAGTCCTCGACTTACGACTGATTGGGGGTCGTGGCATTAAAAAGGTTGAGAACCACTGTTCTAGAAAGTTGTGTTTCTTTTATTTTCCTTATAGCTACAACTGTGATTCAATTAAATTTTATGTATTTTTTTTTTAGGATCTGGGTCTTGTTGCTCCTGAAGCTCCTTCAGAACAGGCCAGGCGAGTCTTTCAGACATATGATCCTGAGGGTAAGCAATCTAGAGGCAATTTCAGTTGCCTACCAGGAAGTTAAGCCTCATTGAGTTTCTTCCTACATGCATTAGTTGAAGTGAAAATTCAACAAATTACATCAGTAAAGTTATCTCTCACAGATAATACAAAGTGTCTGGAATTTTTGTAATGTTATATCCATAGTGTTATTGGCTACTATTTATCCTGCTTCTTAAATACAACTTCCTATGTTGAGTAATTGCTGCTGTGGGACTGAGATCAGGGCCAGTGAATGGAATTTGCGGCCCAGTGCAACACCAGGTTTGTCTTCTTCTCACATAGCTATAGATTAACATTGCAGACAGATTCTTGCATAGTTACAGAATGTGAACTAAATTATTAAAGAAGTATCTAGAAGAAATTTACTGGTTTAATTCTGAAAGACTGTTTTACTGAGTTCCTGTCCTTTATGCTATAGCAATTGCCTCATTTTAGAATAAATAATAGAACAAGGAAACATTAGTTGCCCTAATAATCTTTTTTACCTAAGTAATGTCACAGTGTCCATTTATTCCAGTTTACTGAGCTTTAATTTGTTACTTATCTATGAGGTGGTCTGACTTAAACTATTAAGCTTACTCAAGAGGACTATGTAAAAGTTTTGTCACAAGCTTTGTGAAAGTCCAATTATAAAATATCTCAAAATGGCTGTTAATGCTATTAAATAATGCCCCTTCTCCTCTGCCTCCTCTCTCTCTTGGCTTGGAAGAGAGAAAGTAGATTAGGAAGAATGGCATGTTTTGTCTGCACTGCATCTACCTTCCATATCCCTCAACAAAAGCCTGGCCAAGCTCAGCCAAGGTAACCTTTAACATTTCCTGAGAAAAGAAAATATAAATGCTGAAAAGCTAGGATGGACTGCTATTGATATTTATGCCCTTTCCTGGCACTGCTTAGTGATTTTTTGGTTGTTTAGCAAAGTTTTGCAAACACCTTTCTGCTGCCAGTATCCACATCACCCTTACACAAGATCAGTCCTTTTTCTTCTTTGTTCATAAATGTTAAAGTATTTGATTTTGGCATTCTGGATAAGCTAGCAAACCTCTGAACACTCTAAGTAACAAACACAATTTTTCTGAAACTCACAACTTTATTTTTGTTTGTTTCATTATCTGCTCACATATACACCTTGCACATTTAGACATTAAATACCTGACTCTTTTCTCAGACATTGGGCCAAACTGATTGAAGTTCCCATCTAGAGGAGCATAGTACATCGTATACTATAAATAAATGTGCACACTGACATTTCTCATCCACATAAACTTTGTTGTTTTTCTTTCCAAATCCCTATATGTTTGTACATAGACACACATGGGACTTTTTATTTTTGTGTTTTTTTCTAAGGCTGCAGAAATTCAAACACATTTGAGAATGGAGACACTTCTGTATCTCTTTTCTGCCTTCTACTGAATGTCTGGCATTCAGCCTGTTCCTTATGAGATGCTGAGAACGGGAAAGCTCTCCTTGTCTGAAACCATGGACACCTAGATAAACAGGAAGACAGTGTAGCTTCAATAATAGTCACTTATCATCTGCTGTTATCCATCATACACCCTGCCCTGCTTTTCATCTGTGGCGCAGCAGTTAGAGTGCAGTACTGCAGGCCACTTTAGCTGACTGTGTTCAGCAGGTCAGTGGTTCAAATCTCACCGGCTCAAGGTTGACTCAGCCTTCCATCCTTCCGGGGTAGGTAAAATGAGGACCCAGATTGTTGGGGGCAATGTAAATATATATATATACATTGCTTACTGGTGTACACCGCTTAGAGAGTGCTTGCACTTAAAGCGATATATAAGTCTCATAAATAAATAAATAAATAAATTTGTTTGGTCTTATGCAGTCAGGAAAGAAGGCAGAAACATCCATAATTGCTATTGCAATGTGTTTGGGCAGCAGGGGGATCAGAGGTGAGGCACATAATAAGTACCCAAATTAGGTGCTCTCCACTTTTATAGGACACAGTACAACTCCGTATCCTTCCACTGCCTTAAACTGTCCTTGATTCTCTGGATCTATGAATGCATAGATGTCAATTTATGGTTTTTAGGCTCAAAAGCTCATCATCATTAAGCCAATGATTGTGACATAGTAATAGACATAGTTACCCTGCCCAGAGTATAAAATTAGAAAAATGGAAAATTTCCTGAACTGCATGATAGCACCCTAATGAGATTGCCTTTCACACCCACATATCAATAAATTTTGACTTTTTCCCACTCAGAAAGTATCAGTGCTAATCAGTCAACAAAAACATTATGCTGGAATGTTAATTAAAGTACTTTTTTCTCAGATAATGGCTTCATACCTGATGCTCTTCTAGAAGATGTAATGAGGGCCCTGGATCTTGTATCAGATCCTGATTAGTAAGTATAAACTGCCTGTGGTTATGATAACAAGTCACTGTGGTAATTTTGTGGGGATAAGGTTTTATGATATGCCAGGTGAATTTCTTCTGTAATATAGTATGTATCTATTAACAGAAGAAGTCAATGAAATCTGTCCATTTCATATTTTAGTTTTGCAAAAACACCTTGGCCTTTCTTGGAGTTAAAATACCGGCACACATATAAAGAGACCTCTGCAGATAATTTCCATGTATTATTATGAAGCTTCCTATCACCAGAGACATTCATGAATAGAATTCAGAAGTCTACAGAGAGAAAGGGAAAGAGGCATAGGTTCTATCTATGTGCCTGAAACTATAAAACCAGAAATATATCACTTCATAAGGGAGCTACTTGGTCCGAAATGTGGCTTTATTTTTATTTTAACCCAAATTATAATGATGTTTGAACAGGCTATTTTCATTGTATTACATGTGTGTTTTGAAGAAATGCTTAATGCTGTCTTGTATGTAATAACTGAACAATTATTTATCAGTCATCCATTTTATACTGCAAATGTGCTGTGAATAATTTAGGTTAGATGATTAGTAAGTTGTACAATTAATTGAGATAGTCATGCTGCTTGATTATAAAATGTGAAAGAATTTATTTCTAATGTTCATGTCCAAAACATACATGAAATAGTTAAATTACTCAAATCAACTGTTGGCAAAAATTTGCATAATTCACTGGCAGACCTCTAGAGAAGGTGATTGCATTGTAGCTTTGGAAGACTCTGAAAGAAGCAGATTATAGTGACTCCTTTCAGTCAGGTTGAACCCTACATATGTGATTGAGATGACATCATTCACACCTTGGATGTTCTCTGATGGGAGTGGGATGGGAGGGTTCATGTGTCCATCCTTGCTCTTCTTGATTTTTGAGTGGCAGTTGATAGTATCATGGTATTTTTTAGACTGGCTCCAGAAGTTGGGGGTGAAAAGCACAGTATTGTGCTATTCTCTTCCTTCCTCTTGGGTGCTTCCTCTTGAGTCAGTGTTGATGATGAGGAAGATATCCAGCTGATGGCCCTTCCTTTGTGAAGTGCTTAGAGTTTGGTACTTACTCTTCCTATTTAACATATGTATTAAGCCATTGGGTGAGGTAATCCAATAGTTTTGGGTGAGGTAACTTTAGTATGTTGATTCTATTCAACCTTATATCTCTACACCAAAAGTAATGAGTGATGTTATGGAGGCTATGAGGGCAAAAGTCTTCTGCCCAACCCAACAAGACTGAGTGGCTCTGGGTTATTGGGCCTCCTGGCTTTGGATAAGATGGTGTGCAATCTGGGGATCTCCCTGGACTCATGGCTCCTGCTCAAAGAGCAGGTGGAAGCTATGGCTAATAGGGTTTTTGCACAGATCCGGGGTTAGTAACAGTTGTGCTTGTTCCTGGATCAGGAGGTCCTGCCCATGATTACTTATGCCCTTATGACCTCTAGATTGGACTACACAATGTGCTTTATGTGAGGCTGTCCTTGAAGTATATTCAGAAGTTCACAGTGGTACAAAATGTGCTAGTTACACAGTACATATAACATCATTTATCGCATGTAACACCACTGCTTCATGAACTGCATTAGCTTTCTGTATGTTTCTAGAGGTGGTCAATTTTAAAGCACTTTGTGGCTTTCGATGAACTAATTACAGGACCTCTCCCCAATTATTTCTATCAGTTCTATCAGCATGCTCCAGGTACTGACAATTAGGGAATGTCAGCTGGCAGGTCCCAGAAGGAGAGCCTTTTCTGCTGTGGCATCTGTTCTTTGGGACAAAATTCCTCATGAGTTTAGATTGGCCCTGTCCCTGTTGGCTTTTTGTAATGTCTTGGAAACATGGCATTGTGCTCCAGCTTCAGGCCCTGGGTATGGATTAGAGCTCCTGGTTATATGGTTGATAGATCATGCCTAATTGCTTTGTGCTTTTATTTTTGTTACATACTTTTTTGTTTTTAAATCTTTTTTACTGTAAACAGTCTGAAGACATGTAAAAGTGAAATGGGCAACTATATAAATTGGGAGAGAAAATAGATAAATAAAATGGGACAATATTACTTATCTAAAACAAACCTGTTTCTTTCAAGGAATTTGAATGTACTCTATACTGTATTGATAGATTCCATTTTATTTTCTCCATCCTGCTACGGTTTAGAGCGTATTGTTGTTGCATCCTCCAAAATAATAAAATTAGGGCTGGCCTCTGCAAGACATTTGGAAAGATGATAATGCATTAATGCTGCAAAATACTTGCACTAATTGTATAGTCTTCTCAGGTATAATCCCAGGAGTTAGACAGCAATCTCTTTTTTAAAAAAAAAACTTTACCTAATAAGGTGTGGAGTCTTTATTATTGCTGTTGCTTTGATTTTAAATAAATTTATAAATAACCTTATTTTGGCAACAAAATGCCATTCCTTTGCATTTGCTATTCAGATTCTAAATGCAACCATTTGACTGTTTTTGGCATTTAAAAGTTAAGCATTTAGTTATGCAAAAATATGAATGTGCCATATTTTATGTGTTTCATCTTAACAGTGTAAATCTCATGAAAACAAAATTAGATCCAGAAGGACTAGGAATCATCTTACTAGGTCCCTTTCTTCAAGAATTTTTCCCTGAACAGGTAATAATACCATATTTCTATGTTGCTCTGATGGAGCGTTTGTAAATAAATATTGAGTAAATCTCAATCCTAAAATCAATAGAGCCAGTGCTAATGCAGAGATATTGTCATGCTTTAGCTCTTTTGATGAATTTCCAGACAGTCCTGGATTTCAGCCATGACCTATTCTCTCAAGTCTCACAATGTTTCCTCATCATCCCTTTCACTGAGTACACACATTTTGCTGCTGGTCGTTGTCTTCTTTTTTCCTTCCTAGAAAATGTCATTGTATTACAATCTTAATTTACTATAAATCATTGGAAGTATATTTACAGGTGGTCCTTGACTTACAACCATTCATTTAGTGACCATTCAAAGTTATAACCACACTGAAAAGAGTAACTCACAGCTGATTCTCTCCCTTCAGCCAACACAGTATCCCCACGGTGATGTGATCACAATTTGGGTACTTGGCAGTCAGCAGGTATTTACAATGGTTGCGATGTCCCAGGGTCACATGACTGCCATTTGTGACCTTTCCAGCTGGCTTCTGATAAGCAAAGTCAATTGGGGAAGCTGAATTTGCAAAATGAGCACATGATCCACTTAACAACCGCAGTAATTTGCTTAACAACTATGGCAAAAAAGATCATAAAATTGAGCAGAATTCACTTAACAAACACCTTGCTTAATAATATACATTCTGGTGATTGAAGTCAAGGACTACCTGTATTTATTTGTTTGCTTGTTTGTATCCTGCCTTTATTATTTTTACAAATAACTCAAAGTGGTAAACATATCCAACACACCATCTATTTTTTCCACAATAACAACTCTGTGACATGAATTGGGCTTAGAGAGAGTGTTTAGCCCAATGTCACCCAGCTGGCTTTCTGACTAAGGAAGGACTGGAACTCACTGTCTCCTGTTTTCTAACCTGGTACCACTAAACCAAACCAGCTCCCATTATTACATATGTAGTAAAAAGCAAAAAAAAAAAAGGGGGGGGGGGTATAAATGCAAAACAATGAAAGAAATATTCTGCATGCAATTAGTGTGTGATCTGAGATTGATTGCCTTATGTTTCTTAGGACCCAAAGCTTCAAGAATCATTTGCTGTATACCACTACAATGGATTGAAGCAGTCTAACTGTAATGAAAAGGTATGAGAATGTCTTGTAATATTACTGGATGCCACTTCCTTAGAAAAAGAGAGCTGTAGATTTTAGCCAACTTTGCAATAGATAGTCCCCCAGGGCACATAGGAAGGTGGGGGTGGAGATGGCCCGTGGGCTCTGATTGGTAACAGTGGGAAAAACCAGTTTGGTAGTGGTTCTTGGGTACTTCAAGGGTTGCAAAAATGGCCACGTATACACCGTTGATTAGTTTCCATTGCCATATGAGATGATCTACATGTATACAGTAGGTAATATCATTACCATATGAGATGATGCATTCATTTTGATTCTTAGGGCTAATCAAATTCAAAGGCACATACTTGAAAGATGTAGATGATCGGCCATTTGTTTCTGATTAGTACAACTCACTTAATAAGGGACAAACCTAAGAGTTATAAACTTTTTTTTATACTGCCAAAAATATATTGTAGCAATGCTTTGGCTCTTGAGATATCTTACATGTGTAAAATGGCTATTTCTGATAACATTTATTTGCAACTGGATTTATTTATCATTTCAGTTTATATAGGATTAAATGTATTAATTGTATTTTGACAGGTCACATATGTGGAAGGTACAGCAGTAATTATGGGCTTTGAAGACCCCATGCTACAAACTGATGATACCCCAATCAAGCGCTGTTTGCAGACAAAATGGCCCTATGTAGAACTGCTTTGGACCTCAGATCGATCCCCTTCATTAAACTGATATTAAGAAGAGACTTTGTATTCATCCAATATTTTGAATGAATGTGGGATATGCAACTGACTGTATCTAAAAACAAACTTACTTTTTTTTGCGACTATACACTGGTATCACTGAGAAATTGTAAATGAACACTTTTTCAGTGTTAATTTTTTTTTAAAAAAAGAAAACCAATGAATTAATTTGTATTAAAACTAATTCCTGTTTGGCCATAGTAGAATAGGTAAAATGTGAGTTTGCATCCATAAGCCTACTCATTCAGCCAGAAAGAATAAGGAAGTGAGCTATATGGCAGCATCTGCACAGTAGATTAAGTTTGTCTTAAATATCATAGTATTCACTTGTTTCATGCTTGTTCAGTCATAGAGTTTATTTGAATTATACTGCCTTAGGGTACAACCTGTTTTGGGAGTCCCAATGTCCAAGCCTCACTGAAACATAAAGAACTATAAAATATCAGGTAATACTATTATATTGTTCTCATTTCAGGAGGTTTTCTGCCAGAAACTTATCTAAAGGGTTGTGACCTGTACTAGAATATCACAGTTTGGGAAATAGATTGATATTTGCACTAAATATGCTTAGATGAATAACATCTCTGCTGCTTTTCTCTAAAAATCTGACTCTTTATCTATGTAGCTTTTTTGAAAATGAAGCAAAAATGATTTTTAGTATGGCTGGTGATAAATGATAAATATATTTATTGGATGTTATACCATTCTTAAAGCTTACCTACTAGTCAAAGCAGGATTTAAAATTGCATATTAATATCCTGAGTTGTATAAAGGATATATAAAAGCCTAATTGCAAAAAAGCGCTGTGATTTTTGTTCCTATTATTGCCAAATATCTCTTTTCAATATGTACTAATAAACATATACCTACACACTACTATACATGTTAACATGCATGAGTAATCTGTTATTCAAGTAGTATAGTGTATTTATTATATAGCAAATCAAAATTAAAAAAATATTCAATAATAAATGGACTATTTTCTTCCTTGCTAGGAATAATAATTTGGATATGTGGAATCTTGACAAGTATTTTTTTCATTAAAGATTACATTTTGATTACATCTTAAGCACCAATTGCTTAATTGTTGAGACAACATAGTAGCAAACGTTCTTCAGTGCTATTTTTTTGACGTAACTTTAGAATCATTTATTGTAGCCCTACTTTCATGTCCCACAAAGCCAGCTTCCCATTCCCTTCAGTAGAAAAGATGAACTGCCTTGAGTCATTTTTCATTTTGGTGATGAATGAGATTCCAATCACCTGATCAACTTGAGAATAAGAAATATGACTGGCTAAATGACAGTACCTTTGTTTAGCAGAGGTGTCAAACTGCTGGCCCACAGGCTGGATGCATCATGCCAAAACCGCGCCCACCCCATTGCTGGCAATGGGAAAAAGTGATACGTCACAACACATCACATGACATTGCGATTTTGACACCCCTGTTCTATAGTTACAAATAAAAATTCAATTGTTAATCTGTGGCCTTGGGTTTTGTTTTTGGTTTTTTGAACAACCTTAATGAGCAAAGTACCAACACTGATTTTTCATAAAATTATTAAAATTAGCAAACTAGAAAAATTCCTTCCCATTATAAGGAAAATTCCTTACTTTCCTTGGAACAGTTTTATCTTCTAGGGTTTTTCTTTTTTCCAGACATCCCTTAACTTCACTGGCTCTAAATCATTCCCTTTACACCCTTGTCAGATTTCCCTCTTAATTTCTAAGGGCAGGATTGCATCTTAGTATAAAAAAAGTTATTTTGCTAAGAACAATAAACAATAACATCTGCTAATCCAGTATGAGCCTTTTCAGATCGCAAATGGCTTCTAAAGAGTAATGAGTAAATGGAGGATTTGTTTAATTGTTTCAATAAAGGACCCACAGATTTTTCTTAGCTAAGATTCATAACATTTTAAAAGATGTTATTGCTAAATATCCTTGCTGCAGCCCTCCTCTTCTGTGTTTGGATTGCTCTGGAAATTCAGAGATCATATGGCTAGGAGATCTAGCATGTGGTTTGCTATGGCTATTGAAATATTGAAGGATAATTCAGTTTTATAGCTTGTGTAATTAGTCTCATGATTATGAGGTGGCATTATAATCTGCTCTAGTTTATAGTGGTTTTGTAGACTTGTTTATGTACTTTGTGTATTGTTCTTAGAACTGAGTGCATACTACAACCCCCAATTTAATAAAACTTTCTGACAAATACTTTCTCTTCATTAAATTAGACATCCAATTCCTGCAACCATTCTAGATATATTTTAGCCTACAGTCCCTTAATCATCTTTGTTGTTCTTCTCTGCATTGTTTGTAGAGTCTCAACATCTTTTTTAAATCCTGGTGACCAATATATAAATATTTATGTACCCATGTTTTCCCCAAAATAAGCCCAGGTCTTATATTTATTTTTACTGCAAAAGACCCATTAGGGCGTATTTTCAGGGGGTGTCTTATTTTTTTGCCCTCCAAGCAGCAGGCGGAGGCATAAGGGGGCGAATATGGGGCCCTTGCGGGTGGGGCGGTGGGCAGCACGCTCACTGGAGGATGAAGTTGGATGGTGGGGACCGAGCACACGGGCCATGGCATGGCACACTCCCAACCCACAATCTGCCTCGACTCGCTCCATGGCAGCGGCACCTGCAGCAGGCAGAGGGGGAGGCACAGGAACTACGGAGTTTTGCATGGTACAAACGTGGTAGAAGATACTGTTACCGCACCAAAGCCATTTAGTCTGAGGTGACCATGAATGTGTTTTCAGCTTTTATACTGTCCCTTGACTAGAAAGCATCTAATTCAGGGATCGTTTCCTCTTTTCTTTCAGCACGGCCCAAGCTCCCCGGCTTCTTTCTCCTTCTGCTTCAAAGCCTCAGCGATTTAGTTCTCTCCCCGCCTTCCCAGCATGCAATCTTAACCCCATTCCCGTCCTTCGAATACCACCTCCTCATTTACTGTATGTCCACCCATGAGGAGCAGGCTTTCTTTCTCATCGCTTGTTCTTCTCTGGGGTTATTTTCTTGAGGAAGGTCTACAAACATGGCTTTGAGGCAGCAGCTGGGTGAGTTTCAATTGCCATGCTTTGCACCTCAACTCTGTGGGTTTGCTGCACTGCAAACGTTTTGCTCCTTTTCTTTGTCACCAGCAGAACAGCCCCACTCTGAAAGGAGAAGAGAGAGCACCACCTGTTGCTTTTTTGGTTTATTGGAGAGCTCCACCTGATTTGGTGATTGGCTTAAAGGAGGATTCCTCTTCGGCCTGGTGTACGCTGTGTGCTGAAGTTCTGGCCAATTTAGCGAAGTGTGGTTTAGCAGGCCGAGATCTGGATGGAACCTTCCAATAAGCCAAAAAACCAATAGGCGGCGCTCCCTTCTCCTTTCAGAGTGGGGCATGTTCTGCTGCTGAGAAAATAAATGAGCACAACCTTTGCAGTGCAGCGAACCTGCTGCTGCCTCGAAGCCATGTTTGTAGATCCTCCATAAGAAAACAGTCGCAAAGAAGAAGAAGTGACAAGAAAGAAAGCCTGCCCCTTGCTGGTGGAAATACGGTAATATGGGCGGTAGTTGAATGAAGGGGGTGGGGTTAGGATTGTATGCTGGGAAGGCAGGGAGAGAACTGAATCGCTGAGGCTTTGAGACAGAAATGGAAAGAAGTGTGGGGAGCTGGAGCCATGTTGAAGGAAAAAGGGAGAAATCCCTGAATTAGACCCACTAATATTCTAGTCAAGGTGTAAAAGCTGAAACCAAATTCACTAAATGGATTTGGTGCAGTAACAGTATCTTCTACCTCATTTATGCCTGCTGCTAGTACTGCTGATAGTGGGACAACTCCTGTGCCTCCCGTGCCTGCTGCTAGTGGGACAAGGCGAGGCAGGTGGTGGGCTGGGAGTGGTGCCACGTGCACAGCCCCTGCATGCTCAGCTCCCACTGTCCAATCACATCTTCCAATGAGCCTGCCACCTGCTGCCCTACCCTCGATGGCCATGGGGAACAGGAAGGGCAGGGAGCCCCCATCCCCAAGATGCAGCTGGGATTTCTCGCCCCGCCCAAGTCCAGACCCAGAGCTGCTCCACGTGACCTGAGAGGGTTGGTGAGGCTTCTCCAATGAATCAGGCCCTGGCGTCTGCCCTGGTCCCACCTCCCACCGTCAAAGACCCTTGGATGCCCCAACCCCCCAGGCTCTTGCCCAATATGAATGTTGAGCTGGCCATGCACCCCCTCCCAGGGCAACCACAATGCTGGGGCTTATTTTGGGGTAGGCTCACTCTTAAAAATCATGGTAGGATTTATTTTCTGTTTGGGTCTTATTTTCAGGGAAACACAGTATTTATTTATTCCATTTCTACAGCTGCCCATATGAGCCAAGTACTCTGGGCAGCTTACAATTCTAAAATTATGAAGCAGTTAATTAAAAATAATTTTAAAAAATCAAAAAAATATATAAAGCAGCCGAGATACTTAACCAACGAGCAATGAAGTCAAGAAAGGAGCTCTTAACACCTTCAAAGCCCAGGTTCAAATGCACAGCCAAGCTTTTAAAGCCTTACAAAACACCAGCAGGATTGGGGGCCATTCTAATCTCAGAGGAGAGAAAAGCCCATAAGGCAGGGCTACAGCAGGAATGGTCTACCTTTTAATTTCTGCAAGTCAACACTTTTGGGGTGATTGGATCTGCTGGATAGTATTTGATGGACTTGAAAATTAGAAGGTAACCAGGTCCCAAGCCACGTAGTGCTTTAAATGTGACAACCAGCACCTTGAATTGCACCTAGAAACACACTGCGATCCCACAGAGATGTTTCTTCAACTTAATCAACTTAATCAATTAAAAATGATTTAAATTAATTTGGAACTCATATCCATTCTTTCTGAGTGGCATATCCAAGTGGTGAAGACGCTCCCCTCCCATTTGAGAATTCAATCTTAGATAGTAGATGCTCCAGGTTATTTAAAAAGGGATTTTTTCATATTCATTCTGTCTGAATTGTTGTTCAATCACATTCAATTCTGTATGATGTTTTGCATTTTGATGCCCAGTGCAAGTTGCCTTGCATCAGATCTCTACTATCAACCCTCATTCCACTTTAGCGATTCTCCCTTTGTTTTCCCAAAATCTGTTTTACAGATTTTTTCCTACTCTAGTTTAATTATCAGCTGAACATTTTAAAATATTTTCTAAAATACTTATCATATACCCTTCTAAAATCTCAATTAGAAGGACTAGGGGTGACATGACAGCAGTGTTCCAATATTTAGGGGCTGTCACAAAACAGGGAAACCAGCCTATTCTCCAAAGCATCTGAAGGCAAGACAAGAAGCAATGGATGGAAAGTAATCAAAGAGATAACTAACCTAGAACTAAGGAGAAAATTTCTGACAGAACAATTAATCTGTGGAGATTTTTAAGAAGAAATTAGGCAACAATTCGTCTGAAATGGTAAAGGGTCTTCTGCTTGAGCAGGCGGTTGGCCTGGAAGACATCCAAGGTCCCTTCCAACTCTGTTATTCTATAAATAAAAATCCCTTGTTGTAGGGAAGTCAATGTCAGTGTTGCTGGTATAAAATCTTCCTTCACTGATGCATTTGGTATTTTCCAAATTAAAACTAAAGCAAACAACCACTACTGGTTGTTAAAAGAAAGTTGATATCTTTATTCCAGTCTTACTGAGAAGCAAATTCTATCATGACAGTCATTGATCAATTAAAAGATCGTGACTTTTTTGTATAGTGCCCCTTCTATCACAGAGGGAGGCAATAAATTCCTGACTTTTTAACTTTTTAATAAAAAAGAAAAACAATAATAAAAAAAACCTCCAAGGGCATGATCAGGATGAGTGATCCTTCATTTGAATCGAGATCTTATCCACACTACTCCTTTTGACCCTTTTCCAGCCTCCTTCATCCCCGTAACTGTTGGAGTTTAAAAGAAAAACAAAAAACCAAATATGGAATTGCTAGAAAAACCCCATTCTTCT